TAGACCTATAACAAGCTACAAAATATACAAAAATATACAATCTAAACAGAAAAAATATAAGTAAGCACAAAAGAAAACAGAAGAATCTGCATAAGGCACAAGCCTGAGTGTGAGTCTGTGTTTTTAAGGTGGTCATCCTGTTTTAAAGCTGAAGGCTCAGCCTGCTGTTGCTGCTTATTTTGCTCACAATACATACAAAAACACAAAATGGTCACGTAACAAAGCTAAAGAAAAAAACAGAAAAACCCAACAGATTTTCACTGGAGGGGATCTTTAAATCGCTTGCTTTGTTTGTCCATCAGTTCAGACCTGAAGATGTTCAGTTAACCATCACAGAAAATGATTAAGAGAAGCAAATACTTACAATTTAGAATCTGGAACTTGATAGTGTTTGGTATATTTTCTTTAAAAAGTTGCAGGTTAATTTTTTTTGTTGACTTATAAAGTAATTGTTTCAGCCCTAAATGAACACTAAAAACTAAAGAAACCCTCATTGATGAAATGAAAGGTGTCATGCATGCAGAGCCTTAAGACCATTCGGCCTGTTAGTCTCACATGTTTGCAGTGTATGAAAAAGAAAAGCCCCTCAGAGACTCTGGCAAGAGTCTTTAGTTCAATCTGAAAAGCAGAATTAAAATATTTTCTAGGGCAGATTTGGGTTTTTATTCAGTGAGCCAGTGGACCAGTCTGCTTCAGAATCTGAAAGCAGCTAAAGTTATTGTTGCCTTTAAATGGATATTGAATCCCTCCTCTTCCAGGGGATTTTTGAAATGTTTTATGGCCAAAATGCAAAATATATTTAATTGTGTTTGTGTTTAAGTGTTTGATTGCTCTTTAGCTATATGCGTTTTTATTGTTATGTTTGTGGGTTTCATGATTTCTACTTTTCTGTCTCCAGAAGATTTGCTCTATACTTCTTGTACCTGTTAATGCACTTTTGCTTCACAAATAAAGTTAGTTTGAATTACACTTAAAGTGTTTCTGTTGTTTGACCTGTAACCTGTTTAATTAATGAATCACTACAGCAGATAAGGTGGGACCTCTGGCATACTGCCATGGTGAAACAATTTTAGAGAGTTATTTCAGTCACATGTTTGCAGCCACTAATCCTGCTAACCTTCTACTGGGAACTCTCCAGGTCTCAAGACTGACCTGGACGACAAACTGTTTGGGCAGCACATTGCGTCGCGCATCATCCTAAAAGCCGTCAGTGGATTCATGAGCAACGACAACCCGAAGAAGCCGCTGGTGCTCTCTCTGCATGGATGGACCGGCACCGGGAAGAACTTTGTTAGTAAGCTGATTGCTGATAACATTTACAGGGAGGGAATGGACAGCAACTTTGTTCATGTTTTCACGTCCACACTTCACTTCCCACATCCAAGTCAAAATGCCACCTACAAGGTAAGGAGCACCGTACATTTGACCTCTAAGTGAAACAAAGTGAAATAGTCATGTTCAGTCATCTGTGGAAATGTTTCGCTCTTTCTCCTCAGTCTCAGTTACAGCAGTGGATCAAAGGCAATGTCACCAGCTGTGAACGCTCCATGTTCATCTTCGATGAGATGGACAAGATGCACCCAGGCTTGATCGACAGCATTAAACCCTACTTGGACTACTACGACAAGCTCGATGGAGTTTCTTATCGGAAATCAATCTTCATCTTTCTCAGGTGAAAAGCTGACAGCATTTCCAAAGGGTGGGATTGTGTTTCATAATGGGTTCCAGTGTCTGGATTATTTTGAATCTGTTTCCAAGCTGGAAACATACAAGGATTTCTTTAACTCCACATCCAACAAATCTCCTGAACATTTCACTTTCCTGCCCAGTTTAAAAAGTCACATTTGCCTCTCTGTCGCTGTTATAAATATAGATGGCAGACCGTCTTAAAAGTTCCAAAGTAATGAAGCAACAACAAAATGGGATATTTGTGGGAGGCTACTCACACCAACGTTTGTGTTTAGTGGTCAACACACCTGTATTCTGTGAGCTGTCAGACTGTGGTTTGTGCCAGTACGAGGTAGCCTCCGAGTAACATTAAGTAGCAACTAAACATCAGCGATTGACTAAATATGAATTACTTTTTTTATTTTTTGCTTCTGTAGGACAGTCCTTCATTCACTAGCAAACAGGGTTTTTTTTCTAGCAACAAAAGAAAAGTGAGTTGTGATCGGGTTAATGAATGTCTCAGTGATAAAATACAAGGTGAAAGCCCTAAAAGCCTTCAGCACCAAGGAACGTTTATAGTTTAGGTGTGAGAGTTAACTGCTGTAGCTTATATTAGCACCATCATCATGTTTGTCTTTGTAAATGGAGTTATTGGAGTTACCTATAATGTTGTTAGTGTGATTGGAAGATGCAGGTGGTCAGTAACCGCATGAAGTAGGCGTGGTTTCTCAGAAAGATGTCATTTGAAAATGCATCACTGGTCGTTTGTAACACGAGCTGAGAGGGACAACGGACAACTGAGACCATCTCCATGTTGATAATGATGTAAATAAAGTGAACTGCATTGTAAAACTGGAGGTTTAAACCAAGTTTTCTTCAATTACATAATGTTGCATAATGTAATTCTGGCAGAATAGTGACGGTGGATGCAGACATTTCAATGAGTTGTTTGACCACAAACGAACCTCTGTGTGTTCAGTGTAATGTTTTCCACCAATATGCAGTCATTGGAGTGTATTTGGTCTCCATCTGGATTGTTGGGATGGAAAGCCAAACCAAGACAACCCAACAGAGCATCGAGAATTTAGACAATAGACATCGAAGCATCATGTTGCACTACAAAGTACATTTGAGGTCCACAGTCTTGCAGTTGTTTTTAAGAAAGTAAAACCAGCACTTTATTATTCTTCCCCTACAAGATTGTCCTACAAAGCCATGTTTAATATAATCTATAACTGTATATGTCAGATGTTTGATAAGTATAAAATTGCAGGGGACCAAAAGATCATCAAATTTGAATATGCTGTCTATTTCTTGTCTTTCTTATAGCAATGCCGGAGGCGAGCGCATCGTAGAAACAGCCTTAGATTTCTGGAAAGGAGGACGAGATCGAGAAGAGATTGAGCTCAGAGACCTGGAAATGTCACTGTCACTCTCAGTGTTCAACAACAACCAAAGTGAGTGTAAATTCAATAAATGCTTGAGTCATTAGAATCTAAAAACTAGTTTTGATGAGGAACATTTTACTACTGGAAGTGTCTGTTCATCTCTCCCTGCAGGTGGCTTTTTTCATACAAGTTTGATTGACAAGAACCTGGTGGACTTCTTCGTCCCGTTCCTGCCTCTGGAGTACCAACACATAGTCCAGTGTGCCATGGCCGAGATGAAAGACAGAGGATTTGATCCAGACCGGGACGTGGCGGACAAAGTGGCCAGAGATGTAGTCTATTTCCCCAAATCTGAGAGAGTGTTCTCCGTCAAAGGGTGCAAGACGATAGCGAGCAAGTTGGACTACTTCACATAATGTCGGCATCTGGCGGACTCTGTTCAGTCACTGTGTGCACTTTTTTTTAAAGAAAAACTCTGTCAGCCAAATGACTAATGAGAGGAAGTCAAGCTGACTGAAGAGGTCTCTGGAGGTTTTATCTGTCTGACCCTGTGGCCATCGAGATGATACCGGGGAGCCTTCTCCAATGTTGCGTCTCACTTACACGGAATGAAGGGCCTGATGAACACAGCGCCAGCTCAATGAAAAAATAATAAGATTGGAATGTAAGCCTTTGTAACTGATTAAGGAGCTGATGTCTGCTTTTATGTCGAGAGAGTCTTGAAGACGGTTTTATTTTCCCGAGAGCTTTTTAAATGACTAAGCTGTACTTCTGTCAGTGAAACAGTCACTGTTGTGCATTTGTTTTTATAAATCTGTATTCCATTTGCGTGGATTACTGGAAGCACCTGCCTTAATTTTTAATTTCACATTTTTTTTAGTTTGGTTATCCTGCCCATATGTTATCTGTACATACGATTCAGTTAACGAAGATGGACTTTGTGGGTGAGGTCATCACAGCAGAGCTGGATGTAGAGATGGATAATTTTTTTGATACAGACACACATGATGCAGAAAAAACTTTGTATTGTGTAAAATCAACATTGGCAAGTAGGGATGTCCCCAAAGAAGTGTTTCTGTCCCCAATCCAATCCAAATAATTTAATATTTACTTTCTGCTGATACAGAGTCCGAATCTGATAACATTTTTCTACAAACACTTCAAGTTTGCATTGTCAGTTAATTGACTTATTGATACTGCTGGCCATGATTGGTTAAACATTTTTTTTTTACAATTTTTATCCCCAGCTTCCTGCTACAAACTGTGCTCTCTCTTTACAACACCTCTGTGACAGCATACATAAGCGAAGGACTGGGTTTCTGCTGATGCTGATCAGTTTAAAAATCCCTCGATTGATCACGATCTTAGAGATAGGATCAGGACGTTCTTATTGGCCAGACATGTTTTCCATACTGTTGATTGCTAATTTGGTTTGTATGATACATTTCAAATATATTCTGTTATACACTAATCAGCCACAACTTCAAAACCCCCCTGCCTACTATTGTATAGGTTCCCCACATGCAGCCAAAATGATTCATAGGGGCACGGGATTGGTGTCTGGCACCAGAACCGTAGGGTCCTGTGGGTTGTGGGCTGGGGCCTCCATGGATTGGCCTTGTTCCTGTGTGTCCCATAAACACCGAATCGGATTGGGATCTGAGGAGTTTTGAAACTGGGTCAAAGCCTCTCTGTTGTGTTCCTCCAGTTGTTTCTGAGCAGTTCTAGAGGTGTAGCAGAGTGCACCGTCCTGCTGGAGGACACCTTATGTCGGGGAGTGATTCATGTTGTGTCTGATGAGTAATGTATTATAGATATGTTTGTTTGTGTATGTAGTGAAAAGTCAACACGTGATCTTACCTGATGGGATACTTGTTTCTTTCACCGTGTCACTGGAGCTGCATCAGGATGGCAGTCTTGCAAGATGGGAGTAACATGTATGTACTTATTAAATGCAGACCGTTCAAAAACTTGAAAGATGTTTTACACGAGTGGTTGATTGTCCAGCTAATGTTATTTTAAAAGAAATAAGATCTGTTCCCCAAATTCTGCTGAACAGTTTTCTGCAAAATACAACACTGCATTACATTTTGCTTTGGGACAGGGTTAAGGAAGATGCGTCGTAACATTTCTGTGCGAGGAGATATTCTGCTGCTTTTGACGGCGCTGCAAAAACTTTTTCTCCACAACTGCCTCTCGTTACCTCTGACTGTGAAAGATTGCTGTTGATGTGGATGGAGAGTTGTCGTTTGAAATGAAAATCACAAATTAAATGTTAAGTTTTCTTGGTGTCACTGCTTCTGATGAATGCCTCACACTTTGGTAGTACATGATACAGCTGTATGCAAAGGTTTGAGTGTGTTTCATATTGTGTTGCTATTTTTTTTTCTTTTGCATGTGAAAACAAGTAATGAGAAACCCTGCAGCTAACTGACAGAATTAGTAATGCATTGTCACATGCAGGCAGAAGTACCTGAAAAGTCTTGGAAGTTTAACAGTTTACTCATTTGGCCTTCAATGACTTGTCAGGACTTCTTAAGCAGGTTAAGAATGTCATTAGGAGCTGCCTGTTGGTGACAGACTGGAAAGAAACAGGAGTTGGGTAATAATCAAATAGCTTGCGAAATGCAAATGTGCAAAGTGCAACTGTACCCACAGGTAAAATAAAGAAGAGCATTAACAGTTACGTCACCCTGTGCTGGATGTTACAGGCAGCTCTTCCCCTGCTGAGGAGGTTTGGGCTGCAGAGAAGCTGAGAATATACGACGTAGTACAAGTGGACATGTTTGTTGTAAAATCAAGAATAATAGGTCTTGAATAGAAATAGGTCTTGAAACAAATGCAAAGGGAAATTTTGTATGTCACAGGGATTTGAATAATAGTCACACAAGCTGTATTCAGAAGAGCTTCTAAAAAGATGGATGGACGGTGCTGTTTCAGTCGTTCATAACTGTTAAACAGATTTAGTTTCATTTTGTTGGCCGTACTGTAAGTATAAAACTCAAATTGCACTCATTCCAGATAAAAAAAAAAATCACATTACAAAGTGTTGCTGCTCTATTTCACGCGCTTCAGTCACTAAAATTTGAAACTGGTTTATCATTAGTTTTGACTGTACGCATTAAATCCTGTATATACTTTCTCTACCTCGCTCCAGGTTTGAGACCTGTCCCATAATTTTGTGTCATTTCAGATCTGAAACACCTTCAGAAATCAGCATGTTTTCTCCTGCTGCAGCACATCCTGTGTTTCCAGTAGGAACAAATGTATTGTGAGCCGTTTCCTGCCACTTTCTCTCTCCAATAACAGAGTAGCCTGGATCCAGTGACACAGGATGACGGAAACGCTTCTCAGTAAAGACAAGTCAGAGTGAAAGGCTTAGAGGTCGCTCTTTTTCTGAGCCATGATTTTCCCAAATCCCAGATAGTGGAGTTTAATAACTGAGTAACAGCCAGCTCATAGTGAGGAATAACATGGGCAGACGTACACAATATTTGGAGGACTCAGTGCTTTAAAAAAATATTCACCATTAACTCGAATTGACTTTTGTCTGGGTGACGTTGTTCATGCAGGTGAGTCAGTGCACCTCTCACTACTTCTGTCTATCCAGATGACACCCTCGACTTCCTCTGCTCTTTTACTGCCTCCTTGTGCAATATGCAGCTGCCCTGATATTACTCAAGTTTCCTACTTTCACATATGAGAACTCTGCTATGAGGTTCACTCTTTTAGGTTTGACGTGTTATAAATCACTTAGAACATATGTTGTTGAATCTTTTAAAGCTAAAAGATACTGGTTATTTATTCAACCCAATATAAAAGACTTTGCTGTGTTTGAGTTTACTGCCTAACAAACCCTACAACATGTTGCAATGTGACAAAAAGGGAAAGTCTGAAAAGATGTGGTCACATTGACTGTAGGGTCATCATGTTGTATGTGTACCTTTTGCTTTGTTAAGATGATTTTTCCTATTTAAAGTTAATAATGTGTTGCTCTGTGGCTGTCTGTTTTACATTACAAACAACAAATTAAAAGCTTTTTTGCATTTGTGGTTGGCTGGATCGGTTTTGAATAAAAAGCCAAAGATGAGATCTGAGTACATATAAAACACTTGGCGCTGACTAACACAGCTGTCACTACAGCTGTCACTACAGCATGAGGCCTAATGCTGGAGTTCCTTCAGGCCACTGAAATAAAGGTTTTCAGTCCAATCCAAGAGGTTGCCGTTTTATCGTAGCCTTGACATTTAGAATTCAATATGAACCTGGACATTACATGATCGTATATATTTGAAAAGTCAACCTCAATTTTTTTCTGTATAATTCTGACAACATGAGGTAATGCGCTCTGCTCTGCTTTGTGCCATAAGGCCATCCCCTCAGGGAGCCCTTTTATTTCATGTTTCTGTTTTTACTCTCTGGATCAGGCTCTTCTATTGTAGGGGTTTATAGATACCAAATGTTTCCTCTGGTCCTTCACCCTCTTCACAGCCTCTGTAGCCTCTGGCTCTGCTTGGTTTTTAGGGACTTTAAAGTCAAAATGTGGATGTTGGATGCAGTGTAACCGAGAACAGGTGTGAAACTGTTCCTGCAGGGTGGAAGGTAAACACGTAGACAAAATAAAATGCCAGTGTGGAGAAATGATGGAGATAAACGGCTGTGAAAGGGTCACTCATGATTCCAACAACAGGGATGCAAGTCAGTTTAAAAAAACAAAAATCAAGTCAGCTGTCACATCACTGCGACTTTCTGAGTGTAACCTCACAAATGGCATCAACTCACCAAACCCACAGCACTGAAGTTCAAGTTGTAGCCCATAACACCTGAACTTGTATTGAATGAAAGGAAAAGCTCTTTTTATGGTTTTACTCCTAAACTAATAGAAAAATGGAAAAATCCTTTTGGTGCAAATCTCAGGGAGGTTTTAAATGTGCTTTTTAAATGTGCTTTAGTAAGAATTACCCAACAGATAGTGCAGACTCACACAAGTACTTAGTTTATAGTACTGTATATAGCTTTCTGTGGAAATGTAGTTATTTATGTGGGATTCAATCAAAAATGTGTGTGTATGTGCATGTGTGTGTTTGTGTGTGTGTGGAACAGAGACAAGAAAACAAAACAAAAAAAACGTACAAAAGTCTAAAAAAAACAAATGACTGACAGCTCAGGATGACAGAAAAACTGATGGGTCAGATCCAGGGCCAGCACATGACATGTCTGACAGTTCAACTAACACAAGGACACTCCATGAAATAAACTGGCTCATTAGATACTTTATGTTGATACAAGCAGTTGCAGTTATACAGCTCAAAGTAATGATTTATCTCTGAGCTAATGTCTGTTTTCTTTAGCACTCTCTCCAAGACCACAACAGTAAGAAGGCTCAGATCAAGGAGTCGACCCAGAATGTGAATCCACATTATTGTAGACAGATGTGGAAAGAATTATTATAGAGACACGAAAGGTGAGACTAAGAAGAAATGAATTCTGTTGTCTTATTATTTTGTGTCTGCTGTCCTGTGCTGGAGCTGTGAGGTGACAGTTCTAACTGCTGCATCTGTGATTTTTTTTCTTATGACAGTTCAAAATCTAAGAAGACAAAGAAACAGTGAGGGGAGCCTCAGGATGAGCAAAGATTAAAGAATCATTGTATTTAAATTACTGACTCATGGCCAGCTAATATTAGAATTAATATAAACATGCACAGTATTTAGTGCACTGGGTGCCTGAAATAAACTCACTAACACTTGAACTAGAGTTGTATTTTGTCTGGGTAATGCTGTATATTCAAATGAATCGGTGCACTCTCACTACTTTAGTCCATCCAGATGACACCCTCTACTTGGATCTACTTTTACTGCCTCCCTGTGCAGCTGCTCTGGTGACTCAAGTTTCCTACTTTCACATGAGAACTCTGCTGAGGTTCACCAGCCTCTTTTACATCCCTACAGCTCACTTACAGATCATCAGATCTATGAGAGGTAAAGGACACTGATTATTAAATCTAATAGAACCAATTTTTTTTAGCCATGTTTATTTTACTACCTAACAAACTTTACAAAATGCTGCAATGTGGCAAAAAGGGAAAGTCCTAAAAGCTATACTCACATTTATTGTAGGGCCATTGTATTGTATGATGTAGTTTCCTTTTACTTTGTTTATGATGTTGTCGACTTGAAGTGTAACATGTGCTACTCTGTTGATGTGAACAAGGCTTGTTAAATCTACGCTTCATGTGTTGGGCCTGTGTCCATGTGCATCAATGTGGCCACAAAAGATCTGGTTACATCAGCTGTAAATAGACCCCCATGTAAAAGCTAGAAGGACGCAAAGTGTAGAAGTAAAAGAAATATGACATCATATCAAGTTTATTTATATCAAGTTTAACACGGTAATCATCCCGTTTCTTCATCTTTGAGTGTCCTTTTTGTTACAAAAAACGTTTCCAAGCATGGCATCGGCGATCCTCATGACAGTCTGGTGAATTGAAGGCCATTGGTTGTCGCATCTTTGATGTAATCTACACTCTTAATGTAAATTAAGAGTTCCTGGGCAGTTACCACACAGGCTGAGAGTCTTAGACCAGTAGAACTGCATTAATGCAGCCGTCGTTCTCTGGGTTATTTGTCACCTGGGCGTATTTACCTGGAAAGTAAAAGGCATATTAGTTACTGGTTTATCATCTATACAATATTTACACTAAATATCACATTTTGAGAAACTAATTAAAATATATATATATTTTAAGTGAATAGATATTGGTGAGATACGATGAGACCATTGTTTTCCAAGCTGATGTTTTTCCACCATCTGGGTTAAATGCAGTTTATAATACACAGATTTCCAGGTTCGTACAGAAATATGTAGCTGTCCTAATCTGCTTCTTTAACCCTTTAAACTGAAAATGGAAGCTGGATTTATTTTTTACAGACTAATCTGAGCTATTCCCAAAACGGGTAATCATGTGAACCACCCGGTGGTTTTATGGATTCACACAGAATTGTGGACTCACCCCAGATAACTTTTCCTCCTTGTGTAACCAGGCCCAGCTCGCTGACATTGACCTCTACGACTGTTCCTTTTGTGATGACTCCCAGAGACGTGTAGAGAGGGGAGGAAGGGTTCTTCTTCACTCCGAGGATGGGAAGACAGAATGTGGCTTTCAGCTCTGGATGTGTGACGTGAGCCTTCTTAAAACGCAAACCCTAAAAATAGAACAAAGAGAAGGAACACCAATTTAGATTTCACGAATGTTGTTGAAGATTATTTTAAACACAGACTCAAATAATATAATTTGGAACATTTAAAGTCAAACTACACTGTGATCTTACCATGGGTCTGATGAAGCGTTCATATTTTGGAGGTTTACGGGTGAAGCCGTCGCCAACAAAGCAGACTTTTGTGACCATTCTCTTCCAGGCTTTCTTTTGTCTCTTTCCTGTTCTGATGACTTTAAGCACTTCTGTCTCGCCCTGAGCGCGCACCTTCGGCAGGGGCACCTCCCATTTCCCCTGGAGAAAAAATGATGTTTGTGTTTACGAACCAGTGGGGCTATACCAAGCCACCATAATATAAACCATCACATTTTTTTTTTACTATAGATGCTACAGAAAAGCAGCTGACATGCTTATTTCAACAAATACTCACAGCCTTCTCTTTCCTCTTCTGTTTGATCATGTTGGAGAGAACTTTAGCGCGGGACTGTCCCTCTCTGTCCAACAAGTAGGCTGGCACTGCTCCCTCTGGGGTCTTATCATCATTCTTCTGTTTGGTCTTCCTCTGTTCGTGCATTTTGATGCTGTAAAGACACAAGTCAGAATTGTGGCACATTTCTTATGTGTTGTATTTCCAAACAGCCAACATTTAGAAAGACATAACCAGTTTTTGTCCTATTCCACTCACGTCTTCTTCATCTGGATCTTTTCTGCGTGTCTCTGTTTGTGGTACAGTTTGGCCTTCAAGCCAATCATCTTCCTGGCTTTGTGGGAGCGCTCGTGAGCCTCACGGCTCTCCTTCTTCCTTTTCTTTTCATGATGGTCCAGGCGGTAGCCGTGCCGCTTGCGGTGCAACTCAATATGCTCGTTCTGAGGCTAAAAAAAAAAAAACAAACATGAAATTCAATTAAACTGAATTACAAAGGCAAATAGTAGAAAAGCTTTCGCTTTGTGCAGAAATCTTCCCCTTCTATTTCCAAGTAAAACTACTTCACAGAATTTTGTGAACTGCATAGGGGCTCAAGCTTTGGACAGATACGACCCAACAATGTTCTTGATGGTGGAAGCTTCAGGAGCTGATATCTCAGACATTCTGCATTTTAAAATTTTACATTTTTGTATACAGTATTAAACTGATGCTTAGGAACAAACGGGGAAAAAAAACAAATCTGTCAACTGATTGTTTGTTGTACAAGAAAAAAATCCCTAACACTGTATGTTTTTAAAAGCAAAAATGTGAAGCGTTTAATTGATTAAATGGGAAAAAAAGACTGACTGGTTTAGAGTATTGTAAACAATTATTAATTGCAGAAATAAATCTCTATGTTCCTCGTATCTCTGTGTGTTCTATCATAGAAACTACAGTCAGATGTAAAGGTCAGCTTTGTACCAACCTGCCTGAATAGTTTTTTAAAATCACATCTTAAAAACTACTTCTTTTAGATTTCGTTATGACTTTTATTGCATATTAAGTTCTTTTTTATTGATTTTGTTTGTAGTGATTATTTTAGTTATTAGTTGTTTTTTTTAAACATTTGTGACTTTTGTTATTTTATTGTTGTACATTGCATTCTTGTTATCCTGCTTTAGCTTTTTCTGTCAAAGCCCTTTGTAGACATTCGTTGTAGAAAGTGTAGCTATGATAATAAAAATTATTATTGTTATTACTATTATTATTGCTGTTGCTAAAAATATATATAAAAAATAAAAAATCCAATAACGTGAACAAAACGAGAGAGATAAACATGTCACTTGCTGAGCCAGATGGCTTCGGATCCACAGCAACATTGAATGTACAATACAGCGTTGTATTACAGTAAAACATGTCTGGACATGTCCGTCTGATAACATCACACACTTGGTGGTGTTAAATTCAAGGGGGTTTGATAATGCCACTATAGATTCAACGTTTAAAGATGAAAAACCGATGGGCACCAGGAATGGATGTAAACAAGCTCACATTAATGCTCAACATCTGTGAGTGGAGACATTTTGGGCTGTTTTGGACTGAAAGAATGAAATTATGGATATCTAAAACGTTATTTTTTGAACAGGAGGGATTACATTTCGGATTTAGTCTAACTTTTACACGTTAAAACGACCTGCCATGGGGGTCTAACAGTTCTCATAAAAACACCTGCGATGAGCCGTGAGGCCACATGTACACCGAAGCTAACGCTAGCACGAAGAGCTAACGCGCTAAACCGCGTGATAAAAGTTAAATAATATCATTTAAATGAGTTGTTTTCTTACCATTTTGTGTGAAGGGCGTTACGTGTTACGATGAAGAGGCTGTAGGTGGTGACAGCTGGTGAAAACACAGAGTATTCGGTGTTTCTTGCTTCAGGCTCGGGGTCTTTAGGTGTTGTTTTCCCCGTAGCCGATACTTAGAGGAAGTACGACAACATGTGATAACCGGATATCCGGTGAATTGATATGGACGGCTGTAGTTTTTTTTTTAAAAAGCTTATTGTAAAACGAGTATAAAAACGTATTTGATATTCAGATCGGATATAAAAGCTATACATATATTTTGTAAGTATACGAGGCGATTCAGAGTCGATATTACTGACCGGAGCGTGTCTTTCATACACGGAACTAAACATCACAAACTCTCAGGTGTGCCGGGGACGTATTTTGAGGTCGTGCCTCAAAGCGTGACATTTGAGCGTCGCTAAGAAGGACGTGAAAATGCATTCATTTTTGTATAAACTCAGTATCAGACTAACTGTTAATTAAAACTCCACCGGTCTGTCCTCGTGTTTTGGTGTCTGTTCGTAATGAGCTGACTCTGCTCGTCCAGTCTTCCTCCTGATGTTCCTCCAGTAGGAGTGAAGCTTTATCTCATCCTGAGGAAGGAGTTTGGAGGATAGGACAACATTAAAGATGCCTGGGAGAGCATTGCAGACCTTTAGCAGGATGATGTGGGTAAGTATAAGGTTTCTACAATATGTGTTGTCGGTGATAAACTCTGTATACTCCCTGTGGACTGTTAACAGGCTGCTGTTGTTCTCAGGGGAGGAATCTGTTGACTGCTGGGCTGCAGCGCTGCAGACTGAGCTGTCATCTGAACAGACACTACAGCTTCCTTCCAGGTATGTTGTTTTCAGAAGTACATGTTTAAATGAATTGATTTGTAGTTGAATGTTCTCACCGTGCAGCGTGGGTTCTCTC